TTTGAGATCCTGGACCATGTTATGTTTTGCTATGCTATATCATGTTGTGCTATGTTGTGTTATGTTTCGATATGTTATTGTGTATGTATGTATGTATGTATGTATGTATGTACGTATGTACGTATGTACGTATGCACGTATGTATGTATGCATGTATGTATATGTATGTATGTATACATGTGCGTGTTTGTGTGCCCATTCATTCGTTTTTGTCAGTTCCACTAATGCCAGCCATATTTGTGTAGCTCTTGTCGTTTCCAGATTGCAAGCTAGGAATGTATCGACCTGTGTAGCTATCCATCTGTCTGCCTGTCTATGTATTTGTCTGTCTGCATGTCTGTCTAGATGTGTGTGTCCATCTGCTTATATGTGTACATGTCGATTTGTGTGTACGTTTCTGTGTATGTATGTATGTATGTATGTATGTACGTACGTATGTATGTATGTATGTATGTATGTATGTATGTATGTATGTATGTATGTAATGTATGTATGTGTGTATGTGTGTATGTGTGTATGTCGTATGTATGTATCTATCTATGTATGCGTGTATTTATGTATGTATGTATCTCTGTTTGTTTGTTTGTCTGTCTGTCTGTATGTATGTATGTATGTACAAATAAATAAGCTTGTGCACACAAGCGTTCTCGCATGTTTGTATGTAAATCCGTATATGTACATATACATATATGCATATTACGTACATATTGAGATTTTAATTTCGCGCTTCGAAGGAGCAATGGCCTGGGCCAGTGCAATCTCCCGGCCCTCGAGGAGGGAATCTACGTCGACGCCGCAGCGGGCTGCCAAGTTGTTGTTGGGTGGGTTTAAAACAGGGGCCTCAATAATTACCTATATTACTCTAATTGTGGGGTTCTTATTGTAATTATAGTATAACGGGTCCCAAAACCCTATTCCAATTATTCCCGTATATTAGGGTTTCTAAACTAAAACCCTAAACCCAAAACAGGCTGCCGCGACAGGAGCGGCTGCAGGTGTGGTTTAGAAGATTGGGCTCTATTGCGCCTAGCAACTCACAGACTCACAGTTGTGCTATTTCCGACGTGGGTTTAGGGTTCAGGCCCTGGGGCAGGGCCTAAGGTTTAGGGGTGTGTGTGTGTGTGTAAGCTTTTGTCAATTCGTGCTTTCCGATTGCCGAGCTTTTCTTTCGCCGACACGACGACAACAAGCTGCAACATGCAACAAACACAGTTCCCAATGATCTAAATTGCAACATGCAGATACATTGTGTTGCGACGTTTTAGTATCATCGTGTCTTAAGGCAGCTTCCGACTCATACATTTGCAGCCACACCTTTTACATGCGGGGCGTGTGCGAAGTGTGGGGGCTTGCGTGGGTTTCTGTCACAAGCGACGTATTGGCATCACGAAGTCTGGAACCGCAGGCGGGCGGCTACCACACGGTGCTCCTGACTAGCAGGGGCGAAGCTTTGGCTGTGGGCAGCAATAGTTTCGGATGCTCGGTGCGATCTTCCAGCAGATTGCGGTGGGGTTGAGGGTTCTACGCCTTCTAAGCTTTAGGCTCGGAGGTTGCGGATAGTTCGGGCTAGGCAATGTGTTATTGCTCTGACGGAGCTCAGACGGGTGCAGACACGTCGGAGACGTTGAGGAGGCTTTGAGACGTTGGGTCGCTCAGCTTTCCCTTGCTGGACTAGGTTGGTTTTTGGGACATTTTTGTTTCGGACTGGTTTGGATTTTCTAACAAGGACCCTTTACACACATATTGTTCAGAGGGCTCAAATGCCAGCCCAGTGGAGCTCTTGGACCCTGCAGGGTGAGAAGTCCCAAGCCTCGAAGGCCACATGGTTTCCGATGTCGGCGAGGGAGAGGAAGCATTGATTCGTGAACCGTAATCCCTGACTCCGAAATCCCAAAACCTCTTGAATCAGGACTTCTGCGGGTTCTCACATTCAAATATGCCCCTAAAACCTGAAAGCGGAAGCCGTCACCCAGGGCAGTGCGACATTCCAAAGCTGGAGGGCGCGCTGACCTACACCAGCGTGGCAGCAGGTCCGATGCGTGGGCGCGTGCTGCGGATCCCAGGAAGATTTTGTTTCAGCTTTAGGGGTCATTACCCCGAGCTCACGATGTTCATGTTCGCGTCAGACTCGAATGTTGGGTCAAACCTAGACGACTGTAGAGCCCCATCAGTATCGTATCGACGCAGGCCAGAAGGTGACACTGCTGGTTCGCAGCGATGGGTGCATCGTGTCTTGTGGCCGGCACCTGGGACACGCATGGCTAGCTTACAGGGATTCCGGACGGGTCACGAGGACCGCCGCCAACAACAACAGCAACAGCAGCAGCAACAACAACAACAACAATAACAACAGCAACAACAACCATAACAATAACAGTAACAACAACAGCAACAGCAACAACAACAACAACAACTATCATAACAAAATTGCTCGTAACCACAATCAACCACAACCACAATCATAATCGACGTACAATCGTAATAGTAATCACGACAGCAATGGCCACGATACTATGGACTACTACTACTACTTCTTCTTCTGCTACTCCTACTACTGCTACTACTCCTACTACTCCTACTACTCCTACTCCTCCTCCTCGTCCT